CCTATCAAGCACCTGCTCAAGGACCATGAGCCCATGAAGAAGTACGTACACGGGGATTTCTTACCAAGCTAGTGGCAAGCAGAAGGATGACTCACCGACTAGCGCAAGGGGTTCTAGAGGGGGCGGACCCTTCTAGGACGCCAACCAGGTGCTCATGATCTTTGTTGGTCCGACGGTTAGTGAATCCAAACGACGATAGAAGCTCACGTATCTCCGGTGGTCCAAGGTGGCCATTACCTTTAACAGGATGGACCATCCAGTTCACATCCAATAACTAGGGAGATACTATCTCATCGTTGACCCCTTCATCAGTGGAATGTGCCTATAAAAGGTGCTCATGGATTGCTGCAGCGCAACATCCTCTATGCTGAGACACTCATCGCCATGGGAATATCATGCTCAAGCATCTAGCCCAATGGGGTACCATTCCATGGGGGCCATTCCTAGGAGGCAGGCAATCCTACTCGAGCAAATTGATTTGCATGTCACTTTTGGCAATCACACCAACTACTGCACTAAAGCACTAACATTTTAGGTCACCGACTACCCTGGCATGTACCCAATGTTTTAAATAGCCGGCTAAGGCATTTAGCTTTCTACGTCCCAAAGCAGGCTATAGCCAACTATAGCGGGCTATAGCGGCAGCTAGGAGCTAACTTGTACATGAAAAAACTTAGCTAAATCTTTCTTAAAGAGCTATAGCCGGAGATTTAAAACCTTGCATGTACCACACCATACTAGGGTGGCCATGCTACACGAAGTTCATTACTACACCCAAGTACACTTACCTCAAGATAAAGATGTTGGGTCCAAATGGCATCATCACCATCAGAATCAATTTCTAGTAGGCTCACCTGATAGAGGAGGTAGCATGCGAACCCGGCTCGTCCATTCTCACCTCCGATGAGTTGCCCATCATCAAGCGACTGGTGGAGAAGAGTGCTCTAGATTCTAGCAAGTCCTTTGTATCCATAGCCTTTAATCCCATCAAGGTCACTGTAACAACCCTGAAAATCCCAGAGCCAAAAATCCTAACTTTTTAAAACTTTTTCCTAAACCTTGCATGGTAAGTGATCATATATACTAGAAAGCCAACCCGGCCTAGATGCACTAGGTGAATCGTAACTAGCATGGTTGAGCATGTGCATTATTAAGCAACAAGGTGTTTGCTTCTTATTGGTTTTTATGTGTGATTAATAAACAATTGACCAACAATATAATTTGAGTTGTCTTTATTGTGTTACAAACCCTTGTATGGCAAACCCCATAAGGTTGACCTAGTGGACCCACCCTAGTACTATATACATGTATACAAGTGTTAGGCTTGGGGAAAATAGAAATAGCAAACGAATTAGAAAAGGGGAAAGAAATAGGAAAGAGGAAGCAACCCAATGACCAGCTCGCGGCCCAGGCCCTGCTAGCCCCGCTCCCCTAGAAAGGTGGGCCCACTCTACCCTTCCCTCTTCACCGCGCACGCGGCCCAGCTGGCCTAGCCCTGTGAGCTCGCGACATCCAAAGGAGAAGACCCGCGCCCGCTCCCTCTCTCATGCATGACTCACTTGTCATCCCCTTCCTTTCTCTCCCTCTTTGATTTTCATCCTTCCTCATAGCCGTGCTCGCCAGCGGTAATCCAAAGACCATGCGCCTATCTGCGCCGTTCGCCACCCGAACCTGCCCCACGCACCTCCTCGATGGACGCCAGTCCATGATCCATGGCGAGGGCATGCCGACGCCAGTGGGCACTCGAGCTTATGGGGCTTAACATCTGTTACGTTCATAGGCACCCTTTCCGAGGTCCTGTCTAACTTCAATCGCTGAGTGGACGAAAAAGTACATACCTCACCAACGCCGATGGCCAAGGAGTACTAAATGATGCACTTTGATACGATGGGTGGCTTATGCTGAACGATGCTGGCACCAGAGTCATCTTCGTCTCTCAAAAAGGGGATAAGCTCCGGTACACGCTACAGTCATTCAAGGCCACCAATAACACCGCACAGTACGAAGCGTTCCTTTGTGGCCTCTGAACCGTAGCCGATCTCAGGGTCCGTTGACTCCATGTTTGTGACAAATTCTACGTAGTGGTCAACCAAGTGTAAGGCATCGTCATGTCACGACGAGAACAAGGAAGAATATTGCAAGGAAGTCTGTAATAGAGGACAAAATCGAAGGGTTGGAGATCAACCATGTCCTTTGGTGTGATAACGAAGACTGGTGCTAGCATTCGATTGGGCGGACACTAACCTCTCTCCGATTGGTTCCCGCACAATTAATTCCCACCCAAGGAGCACGCGCGAAGGCACAGGTAGCGCGCGTAGGTTGGCCATAGCGTAGGACCACCTCACCCACATCGCATGCAGTGACTTTCAACAAACTAAAAAATTATAACTCATAAACCAAACATCTAAATTAAATTCTGATTACACCATCGGATTTCTTGCAATAAATCTTTTAAAACAAGATCCCACATGGATATATTTAGATAAAATTTTATTAACGAACATTTATTTTGTAAATATAAAACATTTTCTTTTATTGAGCACAAACGATAGTTCTAGGTTCAGAGAACAAGTATTCCATCTTTATAAGAAAAATATTTTCAGTTTAGAAGAACAATATTCTAGTTTTGGGTTCACAAAATTGGTATTATAATATACATAAAAGTAAATAAATAAATACATAACATAATAAAAACTAATAAAATCTAGAGCAAAGCATAAGGGAAAAAAATAAAAACACAAAATAGAGAAAAATATACATCAATAAATACATCATAAAACATCGTATATATATTACGTGAACATCACTAAATATATCATAGAACACCACATGTGTACTAAGTGAACATCACAAAAACATCATAGAACATCACTAAATACATTATAGAACATCGCATACTCCCTCCGTCCCTAAATGTTTGTTGTTTTTACTTCCCGACAAACAACTTTGACTAAATATATATTAAAAATATTAATATTTATGATACATAATTAGCATTATTGGATAGATATTTGAATCTAGTTTTTTAATCAATTTATTTGGATATAGAAATGTTGCACGTATTTTCTATAAATCGAGTAAAAGTTATCGGCACTCAAATCGTGGCGACAAACATTTAGGGACAGAGGGAGTATGTATTACGTGAACATCATTAAATATATCATAGGCGACAAACATTTAGGGACAGATGAAGTATGTATTACGTGAACATCATTAAATACATCATAGAATATCACATGTATACTAAGTAAACATCACTAAATACAACATAGAACATCACTAAATACAATATAGAACATCACATATATATTACGTGAACATCACTAAATAAATAATAGAACATCACATGTATATTGTGTGAACATCAAAAAAAAACACCATAGAACATCACATGTATATTACGCGAACATCACAAAAAAACATCATAGAACATTATATTTATACCACATGAACATAAAAAATATCACAGAATATCATATGTATAACACATGAACATCAAAAAACATAAAACATTACATGTATATGAACATCACAATAAACAATATAGAACATCATAAAAATAATAAGAAAAAGAGGAAGAAAAGAAAAGAAAAAAGAAATAAAAGAAAAGTAAAATATAAAATATAAAAATGGAAATAATAATAAACACATAAAACAGAAAAAATAAAATAAAAAAATGAATGATACATGAAAAAAGAAAAAAGAAAAAGAAAAAACTAAAGAAAGATAAAAAATAAAAATCATGAATCCAAGAAAAACATAATTAGAAAAGAAACAAATAAAATAAAAATAAGATAAGGAAAGGAAATAAAATAAGAATGAAAAACATAAAAAACTAAAAAAGAAAAAGAAAAGGAAGAATAAATAGAAGCAAGGAAATAAAACAATAAAAAGAAAACATACATGCTCCTACGCGTGGCCTCCCACCCACTTTTTTCGTGCGTGGCCTCCCGCACACTGTTCGGCGCGCTGCTCGGTCCGGTTGTTCGGACCGGATGATTTCCCTAACGAAGAGGCCAGCGTCCTAGCGAAGTTACCCTCCAGCTGGGAGCTAGCCCCGACTAGAGTGTTCCTCAATGATCTCCACCGGCCTTTGATCCGACTCAGGGGCTCTGCTGAGCCTAGGGAATAGGGGGATAGAGCACATCTACGTAGATTTGTTGGTTTTGATAAGTTGTTTTAATTGGCCGTAGGTTTTTAAGTTGTCTAATTCAACCTCGCTTTTTAGGTATCACGGTCCCTTCAACTCATAAGTTTTTTCTCTGCAGTTAATATTCAAGCCTCATTCTCCACACAATCGTGAATCATTTTTAATTTTTAACCTTTTTTATAACTAATGCTTTAAAAATCAAATACCATGTTCGAAATTATTTGTAGATCTGAGTCTTCGAGCCAGGCCATGCCACCTGGCATGATAAAATTATTTTGCCACGGCCGTGCCATCATATGCATTAATTATTAGCACCACAAGGTGTTGTTCTACTCCTTCGGTTCCAAGAAAAACGCAATCTTAGCTTTGAACCGGGACACCTGGGACGGAGGGTGTACGTTAGAGCACGCAGAAGATCAACTAGGTGGAAAGGTTGTCGTGCTACTCCCGTTGGCATTGCCGCTCCTGCTTTCACAAGAACAGCAGCTTCTTCAGTTCACTAAACATATATTAATTCCGAACCGGCAGACAAAGCAAAGCTAACAACCATCACCTGCTTGAACTTTTATAAAAGCTCGCAGCTTCTTCAGTTCACAAAGTACATATTCCGAACAGGTAGGCGAAGCAAAGGTACGCAGCGCTTGCCCCGGCCCCACACGGCGGCCTCTATATAAGGCACACGCATCGCCGCAGTGTGTACGAGAACATAAGTGCAAGATACACACACACCGCGCGTCGTCCAGGTTGCATTGCAGCTAGCTAGCACTAACGGTACGTGATGCTGAGCCCCTACACCGTCCTGAGTCGGGCGCCGGCGCCGGCTCCCGGAAAATTGTCTGTCGCCGCCGCAATGCAGTTCCGCAAACAGCCGCCTTCAGTAGTGTCTCTTCCTTGGGCCTCATCATATGCATGCAATGCAACAAGGAGTCCCGGTCGTGTACGTCGGGCTCCTCTCTTCACGTGCCATGCCAACAAGTACAATTACAGCGACCTTCAACCCAATGGTGAGCTGTAGCTAACATGCATGCATGCTGGTTAATTTTGAAATTATTTGGAATGAATGAAAGCCCCTGAAGGTTACTAAATAACTTGCTTGCTGGTTTTGAAATTTGGAATGATCGAATGAAAGCCCTGGAGGCTTGCACATTATATTCTTTTGAGGGAAAGGGAACAGGATCGGGGACCGAAGCGGCCCCTAAGGCTTCCACATTATTAGCGGGCGAGAACTGGAGCATAATGGGAGACAAGGACGTGATCATCCTCAAGCTCAGTGTGGGAGAGTCGCCGCCCAAGGAGAAATTCAAGGTTGAAACAGCGCCGGACCAGGCGGGTCTGGTCATCAGGTCAGGGGCGAAGCTACGCTATGCGCTGTCGGGGTCAGCTGATCCCAGTAAATTTGTGCAAATTTAGTGAGAATTACTGTTTTGCGCTGTTCTCTAAAGGCAAAGACCCCAGTGTAAACTACACCTGACCCTGGCGCCATTTTGGCCTGGCTTCGCCATTGCATCAGGTACACGGACGACGACAACCCTGCGAGCTCTACCAACGTCCCGCTCACTATGCCGCGGGGCTACGACGGCAAGAAGGTGCAGGCCAAGTGGTTCCAAGGCTGGCTGCTTGTTATCATCGCCAAGCCTAAGCACGATCCCAACCCGATACCCGTCCGGGAGTAATTACGTACTCCATATTGCATGCATGCATCAGGGTGGATGGATGCATGGATGAGCTAGCTTTCCGTCTCAGATCAGGCAGCTTTCTATCTGTATCTGTTATGTGTGCTAATAACCTGTTGGTTTGGCTGTGGCTTATCGTAAACGATCGTAAATTTTCAGCCGAAACAGTATTTTTCTCTCACACAAACCAGCCAGCAATACTTCTTCACGAACCAGCAACGAAACGAACCAGCCAACCGAACAAGCTGAAGATATATAATAACGTGCGTACAAGCAGCAGTATGCAAAATGTACCTACGTCTAGTACTAACCTGTACCGCGCGCGGTATTCAGTATTGACAATCTCAGTAGCAACTTCGTACTCTGATGTTGTGATGTTTAATCATACATCCACTATACCTATATATATCGTTGTCATTCAATTGGATGTTGGAATATTATATATAGGCGATTGCATGATATGATTAAATACGTACCGGATATAATATAATTAAATTACGATAAAATTAAAGATGGCACGTGTATCTTTCCAACCACTAGATCGAATAACCAAAGCATGCTATTTTAATCTTCTATTATCATAACTAGAGAGTTTTTTAAAAAAAATGATCATAATTAGAAAGTCCAATGCAAAGGAGCCCGTCGTTAATTCTCACTCGACGCAACTAAAAAAATATGCTAAATCTATCTGCCGCTCGTGGAAAATTTGGCCGCTGCTCGCTCGATTTCGTGCGGCTCAGATGCACCACCACCGATGCTTGCCTGCGCGTGATGGACTTCGGATCGCAGCCCGAGGCACTAAGGCAGGCCCACGCGCACAGCCGCCTACTCCCTCCGTCCTAAAATAAGTGACGTTTTAAGTTTTTGTGCCACAAATTTGACTCGATCGGTAGAAAATACGTGCAATATTTACATCTTCAAATAAATTTGTTAAAAAACTAGACAAAAAGATCTTTTCGATGATACTAATTACTTAGCATAAATATTTATATATTTTAATATATAATTGTCGACATTCGTTTCTCAGGAAACAAGATCATCACTTATTTTAGGACGGAGGGAGCAGACGACAGCCGTGATGGACTTAAGACCCAGCCGCATGCCGCCTGGACCGTTGTGCCCGAGGCCCACGCGCATGCATGCCCCGAGGCCCTAACGTATGTATGTATAAGGCTCAATGAAAAACTTGGAAGCTCATTAGCATGCTCGGTTTGTGGCTGGCTCGACTCGGTTCGGTTCGACTCGGCTCGTTAGCCGAGCCAAGATTTTAGCTCGTTAGCTATAACGAGCCAACTCGAGCCAGCTCGCAAAACTTGAAGCTCATTAGCTCGCTCGGCTCGTGGCTGACTCGACTTGGCTCGGCTCGGCTCGTTATGATAACGAGCCGAGCCGAGCCAAGATTTTAGCTCATTAGCTATAACGAGCTAGCTCGCGAGCCGCTCACGAGCTAAACGAGTCAAGCTTCTAGGAAAAAAATATCAAAACTTATATTAGTTTTGTATTACTTCATGTCTTGCACTTTACAATTGACTGGTAACTGGTCAAGACCCTATAAATTGACTGGTAACTGGTCTAGATGCATTTCTTTTATATTATTATTATTCTCAAACTTTAGATAAATACAAATATTATATTTTGTGTATTTTTTATACCTGGCTCGTGAGCTTAACGAGCCGAGCCGAGCTGGCTTTTTGGCTCGTTAGGATAACGAGCCAAGCCGAGCTAGCTCGTTATCTTAACGAGCCAGAACGAGCCGAGCCGAGCCAGCTCGTTATCCAGTCTTATGTATGTATATGGTTTTACAGTATTTTTTTAGCAAGAGCAAATTACATCTTATTAAATTATATTTTACTATTTCTATTTAGGTGTAAGTTATGTGTTTAATTGGTGTAAATTGATTTATTCGTAAATGAGAGTGGTCAGAAATACTCGAACAATTATCTGATCATTTTTTTGGTTTTTATTTTCTGTATGTTTTATTTGGTTCTCTCTGAAATTTTTCAATTTGGCTTCCATAAAAATAATCTTGCTAATTTTTTTGTTTTATTTATTTAATATTTTTGCATTATTTTTGTAAATTTTATTTTCGTTCATTTGATGTGGATCATGTGGTCTAATAATTGAGTGTTAGATGCGCCAGAAACACTTAATTTTATCTAGGATTCCCAATCGAGTGTTCCTTGGGCTGCTCATACCCGGGTGATGGAAGGGCGAGAATCACCCGAGCGTCCCGTAGACAGCCCCAAAAAATAAGATATATACAACCTAGAAATTCTTACAACAACCAAAAACATCTACCATTTAATAATTTGCTAGGCTCTAATTTTCATCATTTCGTTTTATACTCAAATTAACCCCCTAAATTTGCATCAAAATTTCCACCTCCAATATGAACGATAATTTAAAATAAGTCTCTAAATTTTTATTTCTAAATTATGCACATCTGCCATTATGAAAAATAACTTTTTGGATCAATTCGGTGGACAGAGCCCCACCTAGCTACTTTATTTGAACGGAGTCAAGTATAGGCATTTCAAAGGTACGCACGGCATACCGGCCGGAGCCGAAGGGACAAGTTAAAAGGGAGGCGGAGAATGGGGGGATTATTTACATGTTACAACAATTTAGAACGTAATCTCTCCAAGCAAAGAACGAGCGCTGGTTCTTGCTCCCTTTGTAGCGGCAGGCCCACAAGTCGATGTCCTTGCGATCAGGCGCAGCACACCCACCACAACGATGTCTTATGCGTACGTTGAAGATCATTGCATTCCGCGCTTTCCAGATGTGCCAGAGAATAATGAGCACCATGTCCAAACGCACTTGGGATGGGTGGCATGATTCACAGTCGATCAGCCATGGGGGTCTTTGCTAGCTGCCCTTCAGAGATGCGAAGGTCCATTTTGTCCCAAACCCTCCTTGCTCTTGGGTAGACGGTGGAGATGGGGTCGCCGGTCTCGAGGACGCCAGCGCAGGCGGGGTAGAAGGATTCTTCCAAGGGACGGATGTTCTTCCAATAGAGGTTTGCTCGCGAATTAACTCTGTCGAAGTGCATGAGCCATCTGAAAAATCTTATCTTCCTGGGGAGCCGGCTGTCCCTCGCTACGCCAGATTTGCACATCACTGTCGGCATCATCACTGCCGGATTTCTGAGAACCAGTAGTGATGTATCTTCATTGTCGGTTATGAGCTTGAAAATGAAAAAATGATTGGGGCTGGGCTAAAACCGGCAGTAAAGGACCATGTCACTACCGGTTTGTGGCTTGAACCGGCAGTGTTTTGGCAGCCACCCATCACTGCCGGTTTAAGTCAAGAACCGACAGTGATTGGGCTTTATCATTGTCGGTTCTAGTCAAGAACCGACGGTGATAAGCCTACAACACAAAAAGGCTACAACCGTTCTCTCCTAGCTCCTCTCTTCCATCCCGAGAACAGAGGCGCGCGTTTGGACCCTTCGCTCCATTGTTGCGGCTGCTCTTCACCATGAAGCTAGTGCTTGGATTTTAAAGAATGGCTTGATCTTTTTGCTTTAAGGTTAGTAACAAACATCCACTCCTATGATTTTGTTGCTTAATTAGCTTCGTTTTGATGGCTACATTGCTTCATTCTCATTCTAGTTCTTTCTCCATTCTAGAGAGCACTTTTCCAATTGGACATTTATGCAAGGCTCAAATTGTGGTGAGTCCATCATCCAAAAGGTTGGTGTCTATGAACACATTTAAATTCCTAGCTAATTATTCCATCGTGGTCAAGATCATCATTGTTAGTATGTGATGCTACAATTAGCACTACTACAGAAATGAACTTGCGCAGCGTTGCATAATTGGCCTCCGTGGCGGGCACTGTTTTTGCCCGCCACGGTAATTCGGTGGCCGGCCGGCCACTGAGACGCCCGCTGCGGTAAATGATTTACCGCAGCGGGCAACCTTATTTGCCCGCTGCGGTAAATCCCCATTTACCGCAGTGGACATCTTAACGCGTCCACCACGGTAAATCAATTAACTGCAGCGGGCAACCTTATTTGCCCACTGCGGTAAATCCCCATTTACCGCAGCGGACATCTTAACGCGTCCACCACGGTAAATCGATTTACCGTGGCGGGCACACTAAAAGGCCCGCCACGGAAAAAGGCAAGGCCCAAATGGCCCAGCGCCGACCCGATATGTGTCTTCATATATAAGCCAGCACTTAGGGTGGCGGCGGCGCTCTTCTCGGCCGTGGTGGATACAAGGACGAGCCCCTCTCCCTTTCACTCCTCTCACCCCCTTGCCCTCCCTCTCACTCTTCTCAGACGAGCCCCTCTCCCTCGACCCCCACCCCTACACTCCCCATCCTCTATCTCTCCCGGCGGCGGCGGCGCTCTTCTCGGCCGTGGTGGCGCAGCTCGCGCGGGCGGAGGGCGGTGCGGTGGCGCTGCTCGCGCGGGCAAAGGGCGGTGCCGTGGCACGGCTCGCGCGGATGGAGGGCGGCGCGGTGGCGCTGCTCGCGCGGGTGGAGGGCGGCGCCGTGGCGTGGCTCGCGCGGAGGGTGGACGGCGCGTTGAGGCAGCTCCCGTGGGCGGAGGTTGTCGCGGTGGCCCATCCTCCACCGGGCTACAGCGGCGTGGCGTCGTCTCGATCCGCCTCCAGCGACGGCCACGGCGGCGGATCTGCCCCGGCGAGGGCGTATCCGGCCCCGGCGAGGGTGGATCCGGACCCGGCGTCGATCCGGCCACCAGCGGCTCCACGGCGTCGATCCGGGCACCGGTGGCTCCACGACATGAATCCACATCTGGCGCCCCTCTCCCGACGGCTGGTGGGCCTGTCGACGGCGGATCCAGCGAGGTGGAGCTCAAGGCGAGCTCGCATCGAATCCCGGCGGCGCTAGGGTTTCAGTAGGGTTTTGGACTATTGGGTTGGAAACGGGCTCGCCAGTGGGCTCGAGAACGGGCTCGTCGGCGGGCTCCTGGTTTTTTTGTTTTTTTAAATGATTAACCGCAGCGGGCATCCTAACGTGCCCACCGT